ATTAATACTTATAATAAATATAATTCATAAGCATAGCTTTGATAACCAATTTGATTTAGGTGCTTTTAAAATATGCAAATATTTTTCGGATGCAAAAATAGATTTGGAAGAATACTTTTTTGGTATAAACTTTATCGGCACTTTATCAATATAAGTTTTATAATTTTGAATTAAGAAAATATTTTAATCATATTTTTTTTACACAAATTTTGGTATTTTTTTGTTGTATTTAAGGCACTTTTTTTTTATTCGAATAATAAAAATATTTTTTATATTAGGTTTTAGGGAACTGAAATTAAATTATATTTTGTGCAGTTTTGATTTTGGGAATTTTTTCAATTTTTTGTGTTCAAATTAGTTTTTTTTTTAAATGCCAATTTCTATTGTTTGAGAAATATTAATTGTGAATATTCAATTATTTTCTGTGGAAATTTATCAATTTTGTTCTATAAATTTTGGTATTTTAAATTGTTTTTAATAGTATTATTTGTATAACTATTTAAAGAATATATTTTAGTTCTAAAAGCTTGCGAGGTTTTAGTTAATATTATTAACATTTTATTTTAATTGTATTGCTTTAAAATATTTAATTTTGATATTTAATTGGCTCGAGCGGAAATATTCAAAAATGGAAAGGTCGCCAAAACGAGCAATAAATTTAATTTAATTTAATATATTCTATTTAGATGACAACAAAAAATCAGAATGCGAACGCGATTTAAAAAAAATTGCTTTCGATTTGTTTTCATATGCCTGCCCCCTGCCCCTGCTCAGTGGCTGATGAATAATTCCTGCAGAAGCAGATGCTTTCCCATTGAAAACTTGTTTGATTGCGTGTTTTTTGAAAACGTCTCTTTTGAAGAGAACTGCGTGAAGAAGAAGACGAACGAGTGAAGCCGAGGGTGCAACTGCGATCTTTGAGGCGAGCATTTGATAATTTGCAACTATTTGTGAGTGTCGGTTAATTCAATCGTTTCGCGCTGAAACCTCAATTGCAATCAGCTTGTCGACCGGTTTTGCCATCCTTGGCCAACACACACACACACACACATAAGACAGAGAATGTGCGAGAGAGAGAGAGAGAGAGAGAGAGCGAGAGAGGAAGCGTCAGTTCGGGGCCTGGACTTGACGACCTTCAGATTGGCTCACAAAAGAGCGCGGCGCTCCCACACTTCACGCTCATTCAGTTGGAAATCTGAGCATCTGTCAACGGCAACAACAACAACAACAACAACAACAAGTTCTACAAATTGATATATAATTATATATGTATCTGTATAATTATGTACATATAAAGCACATTTGTATATCCTTTGGCGCCCCATTGGGTCATTTTCGCATTTTTTGTGACGTCGAATTAAACGAAATTCACAATTGTCGCAATTTGATTGCGATTCGACCGACACCCCTCCCCCATGGCCAGCGCCTACCGCCACCCACTTTCAGGCATCCCTTGCAGCCGAGCAGCATGCTTTTGCGTCGCACTGCTTTGCCGACTTTGTCATAAGAGTGAGAGCGCCAAGTGCCAAGTGCCGAGTGCTGAGTGCCGAGTGTGCGAGCGAGATGCGCTCTTGCTCTAGCCCGCTCACACTCGCACTCACTCACTCTCTCGCTCGCTCGCTCGCCTGTACGTTCGCTCTCTCTCGCTCGCGCTCACTCAGAGCCATGCGCGGCCATCCGTTGGCTTTGACCAATGCTGTCTTTTTTCGAACGGGTAGGGCCACAGCAGGCTGCGGGCGACGGGCGCGGCTGCCGACGACAGCGACGACGACAGCGACGACGACGACAACGACAACGATGCCGGGCGACACATTTCACTGTGTCACATCTGCTGTATGCGGGGTATGGGAGAGAGGCGGGGAGGGGGCGGCGCGGGTCGATTGAGGCGAAGGTGGCCACGCCGACCGCGACATTACCGCACTCGGCACTCATCATGGTGCTCCATTGGCTGCCGTCGCAGTTGTCGTCTTCTTGCTGTTGTTGTTGTTGCTGTTATTGCTGTTGTTGCTGTTGTTGTTGCTGAATGCGTGTGGGAAAAGGAGCGCTCTATGGCCATAGCTATATACACATATCTATATACATATATCTATATGCATATATAGACATATATGTATATACATTTATTTATATGTGTGTGTGTGTGTCTATGACTCGCTTTTGGACCGTTGACGATTACGACTTGTCTCAGGCAGTTGATAAATAGCGGGACAAAAATGTAGGATCAGCCAATAGAAGAACGCAGGCCTGTGTGAAGGATGGGTGGGGGGGGGCGGGGGGGTTGGGGGGTTGGTGGCAAAGAAGCTGCGGCCAAATACCAATTATATAGAAAGAAAAAAGTAGCGAGGCATATCGAGAGCTATTTTTAGCAGATTTCTTCGGACTACAAATATATTAGGAAACTTTAATATATATATGTATATGTATATATATTAATAATAATAATAATAAACGCACCTCGAGCCAGCCATCAAATATTAATAGCAATAAACACGAACCGGAAGTTAATAGGGCGGGAATCTAACTAAAGAGAGCAAAAAGAACTGCAGAATTTTGATTTATTCGCTAAGGAACTTAATAATATCACAAATATATGATAAACTATTTCGTGACGAAAGTAAAAAATATATATTCCGTTGAGTAGCCTATATATATATACATATGTATATTAATATATATATTTATATATAGTTTGCATTTGTGAACGAAAGAAAGAACAACTATTAAATAACTTTTAAATATATAAATATAATAAAATATCAATAAATGTTTATATATGCATGTTCTTTTCTAAAGTCTTCAAATATTATTTTTATTCATCTTTATTATTTTTACTTTTATTACTTTTGTAATTATTGTATTCATTTGTATATTTATTATTATTATTTTCTTTTCATTATTGTTTTTATTATTATTATTATTTGTATTATTTATATTTATTTTATTATTATTATTATTATAAATTTTATTATTTTTATATTTCATATTTTTATTGTGAATATTATTATTATAATCGATAGCTTTTAGTTCGAAGCTCGAGTTTTTCATATGTGAAAAATGCAGCTGAGTCTATTTTCTATTTTTATACCCTGCGCGCATTGAAAATAGGAAAAGGGTATACGATTAGACACTCTTTTTGTCGACCATTAATAAGTAAATAAATAAAGAAAATATGTATAAAAAAAATGAAAAAAATATCAGAATAAATCTATGCAAAGTATGCTTATTGCAATCAAAGCTTTATCTCAACTCGCAATTTTATCTAACTTAATTTAAAATGTTTTCATTGTTTCATTTGTAAATAAATAAAAGTGAACATATATAAAGAGTTTAAAAATAAATTAATTAAAATAAATATATTTAATTTTAATTTAATTTATATTATTAAAAGGCCTTTAAATGCTGTTGCCCAAACTTCAGATAACTTAGGCTTTATCAATGGCTATTGGAATCAAACCGGCTATCAAATATGTTAAATCGATTAATAATCGATGAACTGCCGACGGCATTCGATATTTAATACGACCAATTCAATTTTTCGCTTGATTTTTGGCTAATTGCAGTGGCAATTAAAACAATTCCAAGGAAATTTCATTCTGTGAGGCCGATGAGAGCCTGATCAAATATATATATACATATATATATGTGTGTGTGTGTGTGTGTATGACATATGCTCATGTGTCTGCTGCTAAATGGGAGCAGATTTTGTGGCTAAGAAATCGCTTAAAGTGGTTTAATTAAATTTGATTTGATTTTTGTTCGTTTTTGGCTGCAGCGCCAGCAAAAGGCGACACCCCATCTGCGGAGCATATAAATAAATATATATATATATATACATATATGTATGTATATGTATATGTGATGCATATATACAAATAAACATACATACAATCACACATAGTGCACTTAAAGCTGAGATGTCCAGATACACAAATCGAGATAAATGTATGTGCCTAGATACATATGTAAATGTATATATAGCTGGCACCCAGGGACCATTTTCGACCGCAATGTGTGTGTGTGTGTGTGTGTGTGTGTGCGTGTGTGGGTGTGCGGGTAGGTTGGGGGCTGGATTGTAGATTGGGCAACGGCTGAATTTTGTGCTTGTGCTCGTAATTAATTATTTCATTAGTGCACACTTGATTCGAGCCAAACCCCAACCCGCCCGCCCTCTCTCCCTGCCCAACAACCATCGCTACAATCATTTGGCCATTGGGCAGCGGCTGCAACGGCCAGCATGATCCATGCATACCCTACAGTTCAAAGTTTATGTTCTGTTCTAGGTAAATTTTAAATAAATTGTAATAATTTAATAATAATCAAACTATGCTGTTTAGTTGTACCTAATATATTATATTATTATCAATATCAATAGTCAAAATTCCATATTATGTATATAAGTTGTATATGTGTAAATACGCACACTTGAAAAATTGTGCCTAATTATTAAAAATATTTCACTAATAATTCAAATAAATGATAAGTATTAAACCGTATTTAACGTAATTCGCAAAGTCATTTAAGCAGCGTATCAGCTGACTGGATTGTGTAGGGTGCACACGTAGCGCAGAGAGTCGCAGGCAGACATCAAAGAGTTTTGTGCGCTCTTAAGAGCGAACGTGGGAACGTGGCGTATGGCTAACGTTGAATACAATTTTGAACTGCTTGCTCGTCGTTGGCTCTCTGCACACCAATACCAATATGTGTTTTTTCTGCTGTGCGCTAGTGTGTGCATGCTGCTCATGGGCTGGGCATGAGCGAGAGTAAGGGAGCAAGCAATACAACACGCACAGAAGCGAATGGACACTTGCGGCGCCAGTACATGTATTTGTGTGCGTGTCTCTCTGGATGTCCGTCTCTGTGTGCGTGTGTGCGTGTGTGTGTGTGTGCGGGCTGGCCGCCACCAGTGGCCGTTCAGCTTATGCATGAGACGGCGTGTGTGAGAGCATCTTTGTTTGTGTGCGTATTTATTTGACGCTAATGCTGTCTTTACTCGCCGCTAGGTGGGTCTCGGTCTCCGAGTCCAAGCACGAGCGCCAAACACTGCCCAGGCCCAGCAACAACGACGTCGACAGCAACAGCAACAGCAGCAGCAGAGGCAGCGCCAGCGTCAGCAGCAACAAGAGCAGCAGCAGCAGCAGCAGCAACCGCGACGGCGACGTACGCTGGATGTGATTTCAAATAGTAAAGTCGAGTTGCCGCTGCCGCATCGCCATCGCAATCGCATCGCAATCGTAATCGCCGTCGCCGTCGTCGTTGTCGTCGTCGTCTCTCTTGTGAACTGCTTACCGATATTTTAGCTTGTCGCCGTCGTCGTCGCGGCCGCCGCTGTAGCTGTAGCTGTGGTGGCTGTGGCTGCACTGTCGCCCCCACCGGCTCTGGCTGCGCTGCTGCCACTGCCACTGCCACTGCCACTGCCACCGTCGCTGTCGTTGGCGTTGTCGTTGTCGCTGCTGTCGCTTCTCGTTGTCGTTTTGTGTATGTTCTTCTTCTGTACGTTGTGTTCTGTTCTGTTGCGTTGTGTTGCGTTCGTCTGATTCTGTTTCTGTTTCTGTTTTGTTGTTGTTGCTGTTGCGCGCGCGCGTCTTGTTTTGCCGTCGCTAAAACGGCAAAACGCAGAACAACTGAAAATTAATAGTACAAAAAAAAAAACAAAAAATTGCAGAAAACAAATAACGTAAAAAACATTTCATATCGAGTTCGTTTTTGATTTTATAAATTCTTTAATACAATTTAATTATTAGTTTTAATTTTTTTTTTGCTGTGCCCAAAAATCAAGCAACAATTTACAGTTTTAGTTGAAAAGCTTTTGCAACAATTTTTTTATTGTGTTTGTTTTTGTTTTTGCTGTGCAACAAATAGAAAGAAAAAAATTAAGAAAAACCATGTGATAAATATGCGAAATGCAAATGCACAAAATGTGCCGCAAGTGAAACTTGGACATAGCATAAAAACTGCCCCTAACTCTCTTATGTACAAACACACACCCTCCGCCCACACACACACACACACACACACACACACACACACAAACACACAAGCATACACACAGTCGCACGCACACTGCTTTATGTAGTCCTTGGCTATGTACTGAACGCGCATAAAAAATGACTACCCTCAATTGTCGCCACTGGCTGGCACAGCCCAACAAGAGTTGTTGTAGGGGTCGCGCTCGTCGTTTAACGACAACGTTCTCGCTCTGCTCGCTGCTGTCCTGCACCACCTACTCCACAGTTACTCCTATTCCTACACTGCTTGCTTTTGGCTTGCATTCCAATTGCCATGCTCTCGCTCCCACTCGCGCATAAGCACATATGTATATACATACACACACACACACACAGACAGACTCGCACTCACACATACACAAGTGTCGCGCGTCGTTTGTCGCTTGTCGCTGCTGCTGCTGCTGCTGCTACTTCTGCTTCTGCTGTTGTCGTTGCCGTCGCCTTTTGCCTCGCCTGCTTCGTCATTTTGTGCGTCCTCTGGATTGGTTTCGGCGTTTCAATTGCGTTCGTTTTTTATTCAACCTCCCCCTCTCATTCTGCTGGCGTGTAAGTGTCTGTGTGCCTGTGTGTGTGTTTGTGTGTGTGTGTTTGTTCTCGATTCGATTGGATTACATAGTCGTTGTCGTTGTCGTCGTTGTCGTCGTTTCTGCTGTCGCCTGCCTCGAGTTACTCCGTGTGGCTGCGTACAATTTTTTTCTTTGCTGTCCCTCAGCATCTGCAGCGCCAACGCTGCCGCCCGCCCCCAAGCCTTGTCGCACGACGACGACATTTCGTTTTTTGAGATTCGCTTTTTGCGTATATCGTGCATGTGTGTGTGTGCGTAGCTCGCTCTGTGCATGTGTGTGTGTGTGTTCTTTAATATTGTCGTCGAGTGTCATTGGTCGAAGGCAAACGTGCGCAGCGCTGCCAGCGTCGACGTCGTCGCATATTGTCGCAAAACCTTCGTCTCAGCACGTTTTTTTCCCTGTTTTTTTTTCTTATTTTCTGTGCTGTGTTGTTGTTTTTATTGGCTTTTAGCTTGCTGCTGCTGCTGCTGTGGCTTTTTATTAGAATCCGCGTGGAGAGGGGAGTTGCGGCTACAAATGGGCTGCCTGGTGGCCGAGCGAGTTTTAGGGCTAGGCGGCGCAGCATGGGAGGGGGCGTGTGCACCCAAGTAGCCGAATGAGTTTTTGATTGTGTGTGTCGTCGACGTCGCCGTCGTCGTCGTTGTCGTCGTCGTCGTTGTTGTCGGGTGCGGGTGTGTGTTTGTTGTTTGTGTCGTTGTCGTTGTCGTTGTCCTCTCTCTCCCTGTATGTGTGTGTGTGCGTGAGAGCGAGCGAGAGCGCATTAGCTGCATATACAAATATGCAAGCACGTATAAATATGCCTGTGTTTGTGTGTGTGTGTGTGCGTGTGAGAGCGAGTGCAAAGTGCACAAAAGTTTTGCCAAGCAAAAATGGCGACAACAGCAGCGACAACAACACGACAACGTGCAATAGCAGCAGCCGCAGCCGCAGCAGACGTCGCCGTCGCCGTCGCCGCCGCAACAAATTTTTGTGTCGTGCGATTTTATAACCGTTTTCAAAAGCGGCGGCGTTGCTGCTTCTGCCTGTCGCACAAAACGGACGCGGACGGACAACAACAACACGACAACAAGACAACAACAACAAGACAACAACAACAACAACACACAACGTGCAACAATAGCGACAGCAACAAAGCGAATAATAACATTAATAATATTAACACAAATGAGAATATCAATTCAAAAATATTATAGAAAAAAAACGCTGCAGAAAAAACTGCATTAAATAGATGAAACAAACATTTACTTTAACCCAAATATGCAGCAAACAAAGCGTTAAAGTGTGTGTGTCTGTGTGTGTGCGTGTGTGTGTGTGTGTGTGTGTGTGTGTGGGTGCTAAACAGTTGTTTTTTTGGCCAGCAAAGAACAAAACATTGAACTCGTTTTTGGCGCTCCGCTCTCTAACACGCATCTAATAAACGCAACAATAACATCAATTTTACAGTTAACCCACAACAACAACAACAACAACAACTACAACAGCGACAACAACAAGCACATTATCGTAAACACAAACATAAACATAATTATAATTATGATGTGATCAGAATTAACAGCAGCTCCGGCAAAAGGTGCAAAGATGTGAAAAGCTAACAACAACAAAAAAAAAAGGGAAAAGCAAAAAAAAATGTAATAAAAAAATAAATGATGAAAGAAATGAAATACAAAGAAAATTCAAGCAACGAATAGAAGTAAATGTAATAAAACAAAAAGAAAATGCTCAACATTGCAATAACAGATAAGAAACGGCAACACAAATATACAGGCACAACAACAACAACAACAACAACAAGTACACACAGGCATCTGCCCATGTATGTGTGTGCGTGTGTGTGTGTGTGAGCATCTACGCGCAATAACTAATCGAGTTTAACACCGAAGCACATCAGCAAATTGATGAAAACAACGAAAACAACTCTAACAACAACAACTTTGCAAACAACAATTGAAACAACAACAAAAACAACATCAAATCCACCAACAACAATACCAATTACAAGCACCTATTCTAAGCGTACTACAATAACTAAAAACAAATAAACAAAGCATAAAACAAAGAATTAAACACAAGCACAAGGAGTTTACAAGAAAAACAACCTCAAACTCAGGTAAGTTTCAGCTATATTTTGTTCTTTCTTTCGACATAAGTTGTACTTTATCCAGGCTGTCACACGTGTGGTATACGTAATGTGTGAGCAGGTATTCAAAGATTGAGATAGAAAAACTATACACAACAATAATATATCTCTATATATATATATATATCATTTTACAAAAATAATAATATATATGTATATGTATATTAATAAGAAAAGTGTAAGAGAAATATAAAGTTAAACAAAATTGTTTTCATTTTTGATTTTAATAAATTAAAGCCCAGTTAATAAAATATTTAATTATATAATATATATTACACAATATACAATACATAATATATCATTATAATATAATAAATAAAAATATATATAATTATATATATAATTAATATTAAACCATTAACAATAAAAGCTAGCTATCTTTAATTATATTACGGTTCTATTATTACAGCCAATTTTGTACTTGACTGGTTAAAACTTTGCCAGATTGTTGGCTATTTAAGGCGATTTATGTAATCTTGGACTATTTTTAGAATTTTAACCAATTGCCAAAATAGAAATGGATATGGAATAGATGGGAATAGCGAGAGTCTGTATACCACATATTTAGATCTGATTATATAATGCTTATAGAAACAGAATTCTTGACTCTAGTCTAGATATGCCTAGACTTGTCGTTGTCCTAATACTAACTATACTAACTTATACTAACTAATACTAACTAATACTATGGGTAATACACATTAATTGAAGCTTTAAGCACTTCTTCGAAGAAAAGGAATGCTAAAAATTTCGTCTATTATATTTATATAGCTGACATGATATTGCAATCAATTTATATATATAATATGATAGCTTAGACTGTCTTTCGAAATGGTTTTTCGTGTGTTCATTTGTATTTAATCCATGATATAGATGATGTATATATATATTTACTTATATTTCTATATTTATATAAAATATGCATATATATATACTTTATGTATACTTCTGTGATCTGCAGATCAAAAGCAGATTAAGCACTACTTGTATTTCAGACCTTTTTCTTCATAGAACATGAGCTTAAATTTGTAGAGGCACATTCATAAGTAAAGTATAAGCAACAATGAAGAAAGTCTGCATTTAAGCAGAAAATACTTATTGCAGCAATTAACTACTTTAAAGAGATATATAATATATATGTCAATATGCTTTCTAAGCCATCCAACACAATTTTTAAAACTTTCTGGCGTTCTTTTTTTCTCAGCTCTCACATTGAAAATTTACTTGAATTTACTAAACATTTTTATCGATTTCTGATCAAACTGTTTAATAAACATAATCCGAAGCAATGCAATGAGATCTGTAGATCAAAAGAACTTATTTATAATATAAGTTTGGGCACATGAAAGAACTTCTTGATGTTAATATTATAATAGAAATGCTCAACAATCTTAGAATAGAACTTTCATTAGCTTAGATAAATGTATTGCAGTTAATTCTCTTGTAAAAAAATCAATATATAGATGAATTTAGTAAGAACTATAAGAATAGGAACAAAGAAATATTTAATAAATATATGAAATATTTTAAAAAATTGAAACCAGCATTAAATAAGCAATTTATTTTTTGTTAATAAACAAGTTATTCCATTTCCCTATATATGAAGAAGATAAGAGTTTTGAGAATTTTGTACGCAAATCTAGTAAAAATGTGCTCAAAATTAGATCAATGTCGTGTACTTTTAGCCCAAGATCGTATTACCCATAACAAATCCTTTTTCAAAGGGCCCAAACAAAATTGAAAAAAAACAAGTTTAAAATTCTGTACTTCAACTAATTAAATTAGTTAATTTCTTGTTATAAGTACTATCTGCTTAAAGCAAGACTTTATACTTTATTTAAGAATGTGCCTAAGCAAAAGGTAGCTGCAAGTCTATGAAGAAAAAGGTCTGTAAATAAGCTCAGGTGTAAATTTTAATGTTTTTTTTTGATAAGCTATGCAAACAGAAAGCCTTAACGAAAAACGTAGAAAAAAAGTTGCATTAAATGGAATGAAATTTGAACTTTCTAGACGATTGTTAGCAAAATGTCATACAGTCTGTACCCCAGCCCGTCCTCAGCTTGTTTGTGTGTGCGTGCGCGTGTGTCTGTGTGTGTGTGTGTGTGCGTGAGTGTGGGATGCCGAGAATTCCGACATTTGCCAGTTGTCTTAATATTTACATTTACATATTTGCCTTTGTCAAATCGCAGAGCTCTAAATAAGCACCACACACAAAGGCAGACAGAGACAGAGAGAGAGAGGGAGAGAGAGCGGAGCAGAGAGAAGTGGCGACGCAGAGAAAGGCACTGGAGTGCTGCCATGGAGAGATGGAGGAAGGGAGTCGCCAGAGGCATGGCTCGGCCACAGCGTCTATAGCAATAACTATATAGCCATATAATCGCCTGTTCGTGAGCTGTAAACACAGGCATTGTAAATTTACACCATGCTTATAATTAGCAATAGAACGGCAGTTGACTTTTTTTCCAGCGCTATTCTGCTCCCAGTTGTTGTCAGTTAAACAAATATATATGCACACATATATATATATAGATATATAGAGATATCCGACTCTATATAGACAGATTCAGGCGGCTTCACAGCCTCTGCGGCAAGGTTTGAGGCAAGTTGTGGTGCTAAAAAAAATTACAGACAGAGTGTAAGCATCTCTCTCCCTCTCCCTCTCCCTTTCATACCCTCTCCCTCCCTCTCTGTCGGCAGTTGGCAGCTGATTTGCCTATGGTTGATTGCCAGCAATAATTGTCGCTCAGGCGTTGACGGCTGACGCCAACTTCAGGGCCCACCAATGCATCAGTGCACCTGCAGCTGCAGCTAACCAGATGCTACAAGCCAGCAACAACAACAACAACAACAACAACAACAACAATTGAGTTGGTTTTGCCCCACCGCAGAGTTGCCCACAAAGATAAATATTGACAAATTGCTGATAAATCATTTATTATATTGTGTCGCCATCTAGCGGCACAAACAGCAAACACTTTTGCCAGGCTCAGGGAATATATAACCCCTATATATATATATATATATATATATATATATATATAGACATGCATATATCTGACAAATACCAGATATCGTCGCTTCTATACACTCTTTTATAGAACTTAAGATTTTACTAAAATCGTTTTTCCCTTTCTTTTAATTTTATAAATTTACGTTGAAATAGTAATAATTTATGGAGTTCTAAAAAGTCTGTAATAAGCTCAGATTTCTAAAACGATCCCATGTGTTCCAAAAATAATTTTTGCGACTCTTCAAATTTGTGTAAAGCAATATTTTTAGCCGTTTCCGCAAAGCTCTTTTTTCTGTTAATAAAACATCCTGAGCAGCTCGGGAATTTCCATATTTTTGACTGTTTTAGGCAATCCGAAAACTTCATCAATCGCACATTTTTGCCTATTAATTCTCTACAGTTCTTAAAGTTTTCAATATTCATATGTATCCAAGCAATCTTCCTAATCCTTTTTCATAAAGTAGTTTCTTATCAGTTCTCTATAGTTTTCGGCATTTTAAGTAATATTATAAGGAATCCTAAAGTTGTGTCTTATAAGGTTTCTCATCAGTTCTCTACAGTTCGCAAGGTTTTTTAGTTCTCCATAGTTTTCCATATTTATAGTTATCATAAACAATCCGAAAACTTCATCATTATAGGAGTTTCTCATCAATTTTCTATAGATTTTTATATTTAAAGGTATTATAAGTAATCCTAAAGCTTTATTTGATATAGTTCACCATCAGGTCGATCCTAGAGATTCTCATCAGTTCTCCATAGCTCTTAATTCTTCATACTCATAATTATCCCCAAGCTTTAACAATTTCATATAGTTTTTCACAAGTTCCCTTATATTTATATTCATCAGTTCTCATGAGTTCTCTATAATTTTCGATATTCATAACTATTCAAAGGACTCCTAAAGATCCCATCAAGCTTTATCTATACCATCTATATCTCCCATCACTTCTCCATATTCATAATTCGCATAATTAATCCCCAAGCTTCATCATTTTCATATAGTCTCGCATCAGTTCTGTATAGTTCCTTAATTTTGGTTCCTGGTTCCTTGGCACTCATAAGTTAGGATCAGTTTATTTGCGAGATGGATTTCCATCTACGGCTAACTGAGTGCGGCTCTTGTGCCGGCTATTAATTAGCATATTTCGTCATGAATTAGCTTGGCTAAAGCCAAGTACGAGCCCGAGTTATAATGAGGTGGAAAGCTATTCCGATGCAGGGTTAAGTCGGAGCAGGGGAGATCGTGCTCGTGTGTGTGTGTGTGTGTAAGTGATACCCTCGTACTCGTACCCCTTTGCTAAAGTCCTCGCCCTCGCGGCAGGACAATAATCATTTTGCACGCTCTGACCAAGTCGAGTCGAGTGTGGAGTGGAGTGAAGAGGAGTGAAGAGGAGTGGAGTGGAGTGGAGTTGAGTCCCTTGCCCGGCGGTGGCACAACATGAAATTGCATCCAAAATACAAGAGCAACAACAATATTACACACATGTGCAGCAGCTATGCCCCTCCTCTCTTGGGCCAGGGCCGCGGGGGGGGACGGCGGCACAACGGACATTCACATGCCGACATGTCGTCGTTGTCGTCGTCGTTGTTGTTGTTGTTGTTGTTTTTGTTGTTGTTGCTGCCCAGCGCCAGCTCTCATAATCCGCTGCCTTTGCACTCGCCCGCGGCCCGCCCGCTGGCACCACGCACCCGCGCGCTGGCGAATAATTGCAGTGTCGCCACCGCTGCAGTCGCCGCCGCTGCACAGTGGTATCAAATATCAAATGTCGGGCGAAAAACAGTCACTGCCTGCAGCTCACTCATGTGCATACCCTGTAAAACAATCACAATTTCGATCGAAGAAAATGGGTCCATGCTTTTAAAAGACACTGCTTCAAGTGAGAAAAAAGTAAATCCGATTTGTGTTTCACCCGTTTCACACAATCACGAAAATAAATGAAATGCGTGCTGTCTCGAACAT